ATCACAGCTTCAGAGGGTATTTAATGCAATAGGGTTTTATTGGTATTGGCTCTTTTTACAGGTTAAGTATGGGATCAACTGTATAACCGCATTTATATGATAGTTCACAATGAGGGTAATTATCATCTGGTAGTGACACGTCCCGGAATTATTCTGAATATAACGGTAGTTCACAGTATAAGCTTATGTTATGTCAGGTCTCAATAATAAGCTTTATATAATGGCAGTTCACATGAAATGAGATTTATGTATTGGCTGTTCACAGTATAATCAGGTTAGAATGGTATGATACTTGCAGTAAGCTGAGTAGAGGTGTGTTGCTGCCACCCGGTGGCCTGGAACGGGAAGTGCGAGTCTTCACTCAGCTTGCAGGAAACGTCAGCAGACTCACTCAGCAGGGCTGGACGGAAGCAGAGCCGTTGAGTGGCTGTAACAGCCGAGGAGGAGGGGCTCTGTCCGGCCCAAACGAGGGGAGCTGAGTTGGGGCTCTGTCCGGCCCAAAACAGGAGTGGAGCTGGGGCACTATCCGGCCCAATAGTGGGTGAAGGTAGGGGCTCACGTCCGGCTCAATAGTGGCTGATGTAGGGGCACTCGTCCGGCCCAATACAGGTCTGCTGGAGGGGTTATACCTGGCGTCAGGCTCCAAGCACGAACGCCAGGTAATTGAATTTGCTTCTCTAAATAGGAAGGGGGGAGGAGTCGGGTGACGCCGCCGTTCATGACGTCATTCGAGCTCCGACATTGCCGCTGATGCTGGCCGGGAACCCTGCTCTGAGGTAGGGATGTTACAGGACCCCCCCCCTGAGGGACCCCTCCTGGGGGCCAGGGGACCAGGCCTGTCGGGGTTGCGAGAATGGAACATCCGGATAAGACGTGCAGCATGAACCTCGGAGGCGGGTTCCCAGGAATCATGCTGAGGACCGTAATTCTTCCAGCGGATCAGATATTGTAGGCGGTTTCTATGATGACGGGAGTCCAGGATCTGCCCTACTTCGTATTCTTCCTGGCCGTCTACCACAACTGGTGGTAGCGGAACTGGAACTCTACCAGGGAAGGTGTTGGGACGGTAGGGTTTGATCAGTGAGACGTGGAATGTCGGATGAATCCGTAAGGTTGAGGGCAACACCAGTCTCACAGCTGCCTGGTTGATCACCGAGTGGATGGGAAAGGGACCGATGAATAACCCACTAAACTTGCGTGATGGCGTCTGTAGGTTAAGATGTTTTGTGGACAACCATACTAGATCACCATTTTGGTATGAAGGTGGAGTTCTCCTATGATGGTCGTAGTAAGTCTTTTGCCTGCCCTGGGCTTTAGCGATGTTTTCACGAAGAAGAGGAAGAATATCTTTTAGGTTGTTGACGTAATCGTTAGCCGCAGGGTTGTTCGTAGGAATCTCCTGAGGGGAGAAAGAAGGATGGAACCCGTAGTTGGCATAGAATGGTGAACAACCCGTGGTGGCACTGGTATTGGTATTGTATGCGAACTCGGCTAGGGGAAGTAACTCATGCCAGTTGTTTTGTAGGTGAGTGCAATAACAACGGATATATTGTTCTAGACAGCGGTTTACACGTTCCGTTTGGCCGTTTGTTTGCGAATGGTAGGCTGAGGACAATCGATGGTCAATCTGGAGTTTGAGACAGAGAGCTTTCCAGAATCTGGAAATGAATTGCGATCCCCTGTCTGACACAATCCTAGAGGGAATTCCATGAAGTTTGAAAACATGCTGTGTCAGGATCTCGGCTGTCTCCTTGGAGGTTGGTAGTTTTGTGAGGGGCACAAAGTGGGCCATCTTAGTGAGATAGTCAACTGCGACTAAGATTGTGTTGTACCCCCCGGAGCGTGGTAATTCCACAATAAAATCAAGTGAAATGGCCTCCCAAGGTTTGTGAGGTATGGGAAGACTTGTGAGAAGACCGAAAGGTACAGGGAAGGATCCGGTAACCTTAAGATGGGGGCAGTAGTGAATCTGCATTTTAGGTTATCGAAGGCCTCCTGAGTAGTTTAATTCCATGCATAGCTTTTGAGGCAACTTGTTAGTTGGGTTAATGGTTTCACTATTTGGGAGAAATTCTTGATAAATTTGCGATAAAGGTAAACTTACCCGGCTTTTTCTTCTTAAGTAAGGAGCAGTCTTCTGTGGTGTGATGTGGCCCACCGCAGTACATACAGAGCTGGAGGGACCTTCGCGTAGACCTCTCCGTCGAGGTAAGCGGTCCCCTGATTGCACTTATTTCCATGGGTACAACGGACTCAACAGGTGGACCCCGGGGGGCCGCGTATGTAATCCCTGAGAGTCTCTCAGCCTTCCGTTCCCTGAGTCTTCTGTCAATGGAAATACTGAGCTGCATAAGAGCATCCAATGTATGGGGCATTTCGGTGCGGGCCAGCTCATCTTTTAGGGCCTCCGATAGGCCAAGCCGGAACTGTTTTTTTAGGGTGACGTTGTTCCATTCAGACTCGGTGGCCCACCTTTTGAATTGGGCGATATAATCCTCTACAGGGTGTTTACCCTGTTTTAGGGCACGCAGAGCAGATTCAGCTGAGATCTGCTTGCTGGGGTCATCATAGAGGAGATCCATTGCGGCACTGAAGTCTCTGAAAGAGTTTAGAATAGGATCCTCTCTTTCAATAAAGGTGTTGGCCCAGGCTCGGGGTTCCCCTCTGAGGTAGGAAATGGCAGTACATACTTTGGTTCTGTCAGTGGCATAGGTACGTGGCTTCATGTCAAATAGCAATTTACAGGCATTGATTTATTCTCTGTACTTCTTCCTATCGCCCGAGAAGGTATCTGGTGGGCTTATTTTAGGTTCTGGTGGGTCAGGTGTAACTACCCGGGTTGGGAGGTTATCGGTGACGTATGACCTGAGAGACCGATTTTCAGTCGAAGGGTCTGTGACCATCTGTGATAGCGCGTCAAGTCTTTAATTGAACGCCCCATGTGGTTGACTACCTCTGATGGATCCATTATTTCCTTTTTTGAGGAGGTTTGTGCTTTCTGTAACGGGGTGGTTGTATTGTATGGGTTGAATCACAGCCTCAGAGGGTATTTAATGCAATAGGGTTTTATTGGTATTGGCTCTTTTTACAGGTTAAGTATGGGATCAACTGTATAACCGCATTTATATGATAGTTCACAATGAGGGTAATTATCACCTGGTAGTGACACGTCCCGGAATTATTCTGAATATAACGGTAGTTCACAGTATAAGCTTATGTTATGTCAGGTCTCAATAATAAGCTTTATATAATGGCAGTTCACATGTAATGAGATTTATGTATTGGCTGTTCACAGTATAATCAGGTTAGAATGGTATGATACTTGCAGTAAGCTGAGTAGAGGTGTGTTGCTGCCACCCGGTGGCCTGGAACGGGAAGTGCGGGTCTTCACTCAGCTTGCAGGAAACGTCAGCGGACTCACTCAGCAGGGCTGGACGGAAGCAGAGCCGTTGAGTGGCTGTAACAGCCGAGGAGGAGGGGCTCTGTCCGGCCCAAACGAGGGGAGCTGAGTTGGGGCCCTGTCCGGCCCAAAACAGGAGTGGAGCTGGGGCACTATCCGGCCCAATAGTGGGTGAAGGTAGGGGCTCACGTCCGGCCCAATAGTGGCTGATGTAGGGGCACTCGTCCGGCCCAATACAGGTCTGCTGGAGGGGTTATACCTGGCGTCAGGCTCCAAGCACGAACGCCAGGTAATTGAATTTGCCGCTCTAAATAGGAAGGGGGGAGGAGTCGGGTGACGCCGCCGTTCATGACGTCACTCGAGCTCCGACATTGCCGCTGATGCTGGCCGGGAACCCTGCTCTGAGGTAGGGATGTTACAAAAGGACACATTCTAAAGACAAATACAAAAATGTAATATATTGCAGCTTACCAATTCCTAAATGTGGCTGTTTTAGTTTTCTTTTTTAGTTTCTTTTTCTTTACTTTCACCTAGTGATCCAGCCAATAAGTCTGTTGTTTTTCAACATCCTTTAACAGACCAATCTGTCCCTGAAAACTCGCAGTTAGAAGGTTGAGGCACACCATTTAACACTGACGGGGTGGTCAGCATTTATTAAGTTACAGTATGTAAAACCTTTATCTCAAAAGGGAAAACAAAACGGTTGCTATAACTGCTTCAAGTGTTTTGTAAGTGTTCTCTAGAGTCTGGCTTTAATTTGATAGTTATGTCCATCTAAATGTCCATTAAAATGCCTTTACATATACTTTAACTGTGTAGTGACAGGCCCGGCGCTACCATATAGGCAGGTCAAGCAACTGCTTGACGGCGCCAGCGGGGGTGGATGCGACTGGCTGCAAGATGGACGCGGCGACTAGTGATCAGAGCCGCCTCTCTGAGCAGAGGAGCGGCAGGTATGTTCCCGCCCCCCGTCCCCCTGCGCCGGGTCGAGTAGACAGTGAGAGGGGAGCTGCACTCGCAGCCCTTCTTCTCAGCTGTCACAGGAGTTCTAGCACAGTACTGTGCTAGAACTCCTGTATTGGAGGTGACAGGTTCAATAAAGAGAACCTGTCACCTCCAAATGCTGTCACACAGTGACTTGTTAACTAGCTCCTGTGTGATAGCAATAAAGTTAAGTAAAAAAAATAAAAATTTATAAAAAAATTATAAAATAAATAAACATTTAAGAAAAAATAAGTAAAAAATTATAATTAAAATGATAAAAAAAGTAAAAGATAGTAAGATTAAAAAAGTTGCCCCAACAAAATGCCTTTAATCTTTGCTCATCTTCCTATTGTAATTCACAGAAACAGAGCATAATTGTAATATAATATTTACTGTCAAGAGTAGAGATTCTGCATATGCTTTAAAAGGCACAAAAAAGTAACAGGTACTACTTTTTGAAGAACAGCTACCTGAAAAGGACCACAAGAGATTTTCTTTAGTATGGTCACAACAGAGCCCACCAAAGCTACTATTTGTGGGAGTTGCATAGACAAGCAACAAAATAGTACAAACAATGTGTTTTCTAAATCTCACCTCTTTATTTTTTCCTTCATAGGAACTTCTGAATATTGCCCATATCCAGCCCCCTCATTTCGCCCGTTTGCAGATCTTCAGTGAAACATTTGGAAACATTTGCAACATTTCTTTTGTTTTTGGAACTATACTGAAGCAAGTAAAGGTACATATATAACAAGATTTTGCTGAAGATAAATCACCAGGGCAGTAAGCTCTTGCTTAATGCACGTTATTTAAGGTTCACAACAGAATTTATCAAGGTACAACATAAGGATGCAAGAACTTTATAAGGCCCCATGTTGGGTGTATGAGAATTAAACTACCATGCCTAAGCTGACGTTAGCCAATAATAAAATTATTCAGTGATAATTAATTGGTAGACCCTAAAAGAAACAAAACATCTACCACTGGACCTAATGCAGGAGGATAAGGAGGATTCTTGAGGGTACCTGCAGGCATTCCCCTAACTAGATGGACCGTAGGAATATAGAGTACTTGTCTTAGCAGGGTGTGCTTTCATGAGGGCTTATTTTTAAGGTCCCTGTTAAACAAATATAAATAGAACTGGGTGCCTGCTCCAATGAAAACCTAATATAAAGTAACTCCTATATTACCTCTAATTCCCCAAAGGATAAAATACAAAATATTAACAACCACTTACAAAGCCATTCACAACTCTGCCCCAGGTTACATCTCCAACCTTTACGCTCCTCCCAAGACCTCCTGCTCTCTTGCTCCCTTGTCAACTCCTCCCCTGCTTGCCTCCTGGACTTCTCTAGAGTCTCCCCCATTTTTTGGGACTCCTTACCCCAACCCGTCCGTCTATCTCTTACTCTGACTGCCTTTAGGTGATCCCTTAAGACTCATCTCTTCAGGGAAGCCTATCCCACTTCAACCTAACCATTGAAATATCACTTTCTCAAACAATTCATCCCTATAGAGCTACCTCCTCATGTATCACTTGCCCCTCCCTTTTAGATTGTAAGCTCTCATGGGCAGGGCCCTCCTTGCCGTCTTGTATTGTAATTGTAATGTCTTCCTTATATTGTAGAGCGCTGCGCTGTCAGGGTTCCACCCTGACTTTACTGGTTTGCAGCATTCTGGCTTGGCTGCCATTTTACTCACCAGTTTCCTTCCTTGCTTGAGCAGACTCTGGAACGTTGCTCACTACTCCCAGGCTCCCTCTTATGGCCAGATACGAGAGCATCATCTGGGAGTTTCCTGTCTCTGAGTGATGATGTCACCCCACTCACTATATATAAACCATTCAGTCCACTCTGACCTTGCCCTTGCGTGGTCTTCCTGCTAGTACATTCCTGCTGCTCTGAGTATCCTGATTCTGTGTATGATCCGATCCTGGCTGATGTTCTCTTCTGGCTCCTGCTCCTGGCTTGTTCCTGACCACGCTGATTTCCTGGCTCCTGCTCCTGGCTTGTTCCTGGCGACGCTGATCTCCGTGTTCCTGACTCTGGCTTGTTCCGGTTTAAGACTCTGCTTACTCCTGTGGACACTGTTCTTAATAAATATTTTAACTTGCACCTTTCGCTTGTCTGGTTTTCATTGTGCTCTGACATTACGCAAGGGCCATGAATCCAGATGGTGCAAGTGTAAACCCTAGTCCCTCTCCGTTGAAGACTATTTTTTCCAGGCTTGATTCGCAGAATCAAAGAATGGAGCGATTCGCTCAGGCTCTGCAGACCCTGCTCTCTCGCACGGCTCATTTGGACCCAGCTACCCACTACCCCTTTTGGTCCTTCCATTGCTCCTGAGCCTACCCCTGTAAGGGGCATGTTGGGTCAAGCTCCCTTACCCCAACATTAGGGGGGTGACCCCAATCATTGCCGCGGATTCCTGAACCAGGTGGGAATCTATTTTGAGTTGGTTCCGCAGGCATTTCCTGGCGCAGGGCGAAGGTCGGGTTCTTGATATCCCTATTGACGCATAAAGCATTATGCTGGGCTAATCCGCTTTGGGAGAATGATAAGCCCATTATTTTCAACTACCCAGAATTTGTGGCCTCCTTCAGACGGGCATTTGATGTACCAGCTCGATCCCTCTCTGCCGCTAAACTGCTTATGTGCATGCGGCAAGGTATGCGAACTGTAGCCGAGTATGCCATAGAGTTTCGTACCTAGCAGCAGAGGTAGGCTGAAATAATGAGGCACTGGTGGCAGCCTTCTTCCATGGGCTCTCCGATAATATCAAGGATGAAGTGGCTGCTAAGGAATTACCTAGCGATTTGGAGGAGCTGGTGTCATTCCTGATTCTCATTGACACCAGCCTCCATGAGAGGCCCTCGTTTAGGGAGCGCCTGCGTAGGCCTCCTAATAAGTTGGCTCCCTCGTTTTCCTCCCCTCCCACACCTTCCACTCCATCCTCATCGTCCGGTGTGTTGTCTACTGGAGGTATTGAACCCATGCAACTGGGAGTTACACGTTTGTCCGAGGCTGAAAGGGCCTATAGGAGACGAGAGGGACTATGTCTCTACTGCGGCCTCACAAGTCATCTTTTGAGGTCATATCCCACATGGCCGGGAAACGCTTGCACCTAAGACTCCATAGGGGACGGATCTTAAGTGGGGTTTCCTCGTCCCCAGGGCTCCTCAAGGAGAAGCCTCTGGTCACTGTGGTACTCTCATGGGCAGACTTCTCAGTGGTTACTTCGGCACTGATTGACTCCGGTGCTGCGGGTATGTTTATTGACGCTTCTTTTGTCTCTAAGATTCTGATACCCACACAACCTTGTACCACTCCGTTGGCCATTGAGGCCATTGATGGCAGACCCTTACAGCCTGCACTCATCACCCTTGAGACCGCTCCTCTTATCATGGCTGTAGGGGCTTTACATTATGAGACGATCCAGTTCCAGGTGATCTCCTCGCCGCACTTTCCGGTGGTTCGGGGTTATCCGTGGCTCCATTCCCATAATCCCAGGCTCGATTGGGGAAGGTCTGAGATTTTGTCCTGGTCTGATCAATGTTCTGCCAAATGTTTGCAAAGACCCACGAGACTCCTATGTACTGCATCTGTCTCCGAATTGCCTGAAGAGTACAGGGAGTTCTCGGACCTGTTTGATAAGGTTCAGGCCGGTACTCTTCCTCCTCACAGACCGTATGACTGTGCCATTGATCTTATCCCTGGGTCTGTCCCTCCTCGTGGTAGAGTGTATCCTCTCTCAGTTGCGGATAACAAAGCGATGGAGGAGTATGTCTCAGACGCCCTAGCCAGGGGGTTTATCCGCAAATCCTTGTCGCCTGCTGGGGCCGGATTCTTTTTTGCCAAAAAGAATGGAGGGAAGCTTCAACCATGCATCGATTATAGAGGACTCAATCGTATTACCGTTAGGAATGCGTATCCGATTCCCCTCATCACTGAACTCTTTGATCGACTCAAGGGTTCTAAGACTTTCACAAAACTGAACCTAAAGGGAGCCTATAATTTGGTCCGTATTAAAGAAGGCCATGAATGAACGACAACATTCAATACCCGAAGCGGCCACTATGAGTCCCTGGTAATACCCTTCGGGTTATGCAATGCTCCGGCTGTCTTCCAGGAATTCATAAATTATGTGTTGCGCTATATGCTTCAACAATGTGTTGTAGTGTATCTTGTTGATATAGTCACTGGCTAACCATCAGGTGGATGTAGCCCGAGTATTCCAAAGTCTGCGGGAGAATGGGCTATTTTGTAAACTCGAAAAGTGTGAGTTTCATCAAGTCCAAGTCACATTCCTCGGTTATGTTATCTCAGAACAAGGGGTTTTCCATGGACCCACAGAAATTAGCAGCTGTGCTCCAATGGCCTCGCCCATGTGGTTTACGCTCCATCCAAAGATTCTTGGGCTTTGCCAATTATTATCGTAAATTTATCAAACAATTGTCTCCACCTTGGTCAAACCCATCACTGACTTGACTAAGAAGGGTGTGAACCCTCTTTCCTGGTCTCCAGCTGCTGAACAAGCCTTTAAAATTGGCTTTTTCCACTGCACCAGTGTTAGCCCACCCCAACCCAGCCTTACCATTTATATTGGAGGTGGATGCGCCTGAATTGTTGGCAATCATCTTGACTCTCGAGGAATGGCGGCATCTCCTTGAGGGGACCACTGTTCCTGTGTTAATACTCACTGACCACAAGAATCTCACCTATCTCTTGGAGGCCAAACAACTATCCACCCGGTAGGCCAGATGGGCCTTGTTCTTGTCTCGTTTCAACTACATCCTTTCTTATTTGCCTGGGTCTAGGAACATTAAGGCTTACGCCCTGTCCCCCCAGTTTGCCGTACTGTCCATGGAGGTTCCTTTACCTGTTCCTGTTGTACCTCCTAATCGCACTCTTGCCTCGGTATGCTCCAGTTTGACGTCACCTTTGGGGGGACAAATTTTGGCTTTGACGACTACCCACTCTGGCTCCTGACTCTGACTTGTTCTGGTTTAAAATTTTGCTTGCTCCTGTGGACACTGTTCTTAATAAATATTTTAACTAGCATCTTTCGCTTGTCTGGTTTTCATTGTGCTCTGACATGCACATAGACGAACATCAAATAATGTACTTGGAATTTTTGGAACAAAAGTAATTACAACAAACAATGCAAGTTACAAAAGATGGACATACTATCTACATTGCAAGAAGGAATATAAGACTCTCATGAAGACTAGTCTTTGTCCAGGAATCTGACCCCTTATTGTGTATTACCTACAAAGTTCATATACTAGTTGATACACTTATATACATTAAAAACATCTGAAGACGACTGGCAATAGGCAACCTATAACAGCCTAAACATTTTCCTCTGCTTGAGTGTAAACATTCTTCAGAGTCTTAGCTCTGTCGTGTATGGGTCCCTCCTCGGTTTTAACACAAGAGAATTTCACAGCAGTTATGCAGGATTTCATAGGCCAAATTCAGGGTTGTGGACTAAAGTGGGGGCCCCATTTACTTGTCCCTCATGACAATCTACTTATCATGATCTACCCTTGCAGATTGCAATTTTGACTGCTGACCTGCCTGCAGCCTTAATGGCCTGTGAGTCTTTGGCTACGTAGGCTAGATCTGATGAAGAACCTCAAAAATCATTTAAAAATCATTTAAAAAACCAACTGTATATTCTTCATAGATCATATCTGACCCCTGTGTGATTATCCAGGTTTTGCCCAATGCACAGTCCTCTGTGTCCTATGTCTTCTACTGCCCAGGCCTCTTTTTTCCATTTATTATGGGATTGTCTGCAGATTCAAGTTTACAGGTACCAAGCATTAATTTTCAGCATGATAAAATGGGTTCCCCAATTTCTTTAAACCCCAAATATTTCCTTTTGGGTATACTATTAGATTTAGACAAATATAGTACTATTTATTTTTGTTTTGCATGGTACACTTTTTGTTGCATGCAAACAATTTGGTAAAACTTAGATTCAAGCCCTGCCACCCACCTGTGACTCTTGGATCGCCCAGGTTAATGCCGCATTACCCTATAAAAAGCTTGATTGTGAACACAGAGGCTGATGATAGATATGCTTTACATGATTACATGGTCACCTGTTGGACTGCTATAACTTGTACTTTCCTACAATCAACTACAAGATGTAATATGTACTGTTCACGCTGGCTGGACTACTGTTTTTGTATTTCTTCTTTTCTTAAATCATGTCCACCTTTTTGAATGTGAAAAATCCTTTAAAAAGCTAGGAAGTCCACTTCCTGCAAAATCTACAATCTCACATGGAAGACATATATTGCTTGGTGTAAGAAAAATAATTTTCTTACTAGAAAATATTCTGTAGGATGAATCCTAACTTTTTTTGTAATCAGGCCTGGATTAGCATTTTGCCCTAAGTACCATGATTTCTGTGCTTGTGATCTCATTCTAAAGGCCGCTAGCCGCCCATTCTTTGATTAAAACCTTTGTACAGGGTGTTTCCTGTGTGTTCAGACGTCACTCCATGGGATTTGGATTTTGTTCTCTCTACACTTTAAAAAACACCTTTTAAACCTATCTGATATATTCCCCTTTCCACGCTTACAAGGTTACATTACTTGTCACCATCACCTCTTCGAGGCATGTGCCTGAACTGGTGATTTTGTCCTGTAAAGAAACCTTTCTGGTCTTACACAAGAACAAGGTGTTATTAAGGCCTAGAGCCTCCTTCCTTTTTAAGGTGGTTACAGCCTTTAATCTCAACTAGGATATTGTGCTTTTGTCCCTCTGTCTAGCACAAGTACATTAAAAGTAGATTACCTTTCATTGTTTGGATGTGGTTGGAGCTGTGCTTGTCTACCCTGCTACCACTGCTTCCATTAGAAAGAGTCACTCTCTCTTTAGTGGTCCTGTTAGTGTTTTGTTTGCTTTGTTTTCCACCCCTCATTTGGAGTGCTTTTGGCTGGGTCCCTAAATAAATGAGAAAGAAAATTTCATTTTTGTACTCACATAAAATCCTTTTTTTGGCGTACATTGACAGATGTAGGCCCCACCACGCTGTGTTTATGATATTCCTCTCAGTACTGTTTGGTCACAAAGCATGCTCCGAGTGGGAGAGGTTTTACCAGGCTAGTCACTTTTTTGGTTTGTCAATTACCAAATCTTCCAGTTAGCAGTAGTATAATCCAATTGTCTCTGAATCCTTTGCCCCTCAATGAACTCCAAGAAAAGGATTTTATGGTGAGTATAAAAATCCAATTATTTTTGGATTGAAAATTACTTAAAACCCCCAAAACAATACATTTTACCTATAAGTAAAGGACCTGCAGAACAAAAACAGGTAGTTGCAACTTTTTAATCACACAATATTTGTGCAACATTTTTATTATACATATATTTTCAGGAACAAAATACCCTTAAAATAATGTTGGTGCACATAATTTTTTGAGCACTAAAAAAAAATCAATTTTTTTAAAAATTATTAAGCTAATTAAACACCAAATATGTCAAGCCGACATAGGGAAATGTATTGTAAGAACTTTTTTCACATTCAAACAGCCTGCAAATATTCTGTCCCTGCCCATGAACTGTCCACCTCTGACATGTTTCACCCTCACAGGCTTATTCATAGAGCCGAATATATCAAGCCTCAATATTGTGTGCACCCATGAAAAAATCTTTACAGCCCATGTGTAGTACCCTGTTTCCCCTAAAATAAGACCTACCCCGAAAGTAAGACCTAGCACTATTTTTCAAGATTCCTGTAATATAAGACCTACCCCGAAAATAAGACCTAGTTTGGTGGTAGCATGTGAGGGGAAACTTGAAGAGCAGGAGTGATAGTATCAGCCTGCAGGGACATACTGTATTAAGGGGATGACAGGGGACTACCTCCGGTCAGCGCAGTGATAGGGAGCACTCCAGTACCAAACTTCACCAACTACTGTCCCCGAAGGCACTGCTTAATGTAATGGTACTGTACTGTAATGTGTACCGGTAAATGGTACCGTACTTTACCGTGCTGTCCACTGTCTGATGTCCCCACTGCTGCACCGCTGATACCACTGCCCCTGATGGCAAAGGAAGCCGGCGCTGTAGAAAGCAAGGCTGTGGCGGCAGATCGAGCAGAGCCGCATTAGCTGATACGTCCTCTATAGCGCCGGTTACTGTGACAGGCGGAGTTATACCAGATAACTTTGGATTGTTGTACATTTTGTTGCACATTAAAAAATAAAAATAAGACATCCCCTGAAAATAAGACCTAGTGTGTTTTTGGGGGGCAAAAAAAATATAAGACAGTGTCTTATTTTCGGGGAAACACGGTAGTAGGCTTCCAGCTCTAGCTATCTGCTATATATTTTAGCATTATATTTTTGTAACTACTGTTCTGTTTATTTTTTGTGATCTTTTTTTTATTAGAATGCATACGAATTGTATGTAAATTATCTTCTGGATTCTCAGTCTTCACTGCAGCACGAGGTAATTGCTTAGACAATAGCTTTTTATTGCTTGTTTGCTGAACTATACTGCAAATATTCGATAGATTTAAGAAAAAAATGGTTTGGTCGCCAAAATGTTTTAGATCTGACTGTTTTCCACTAGCTTATTTTATTTCTATAGTGAATGTGTAGTTGTTTTGAACATATTTACTAGGGTTAGGGCTGAAAATATTTTGATAGATTTTCCTTGTTTTAGTTATTTAATTTAAATATATAATGTGGCATATTGATATTTTGTATTCTCTTTGTTTGCTTGCAGGTAACATTTTAGGCTTAGGCTCAGTAGCTCTAGATCAAATTACACACAGGTGAAAAAGCAGGAGCAGTGTTTTAAACTATATCTACCCTATGCCATTATTCAAGGTTTTAATGAGAGGCAAAGAAAAGGGATAACTTAATCTTTTAAATTAGATAATTTTTATTAAGCATAAGCAGAAACATAGCAAAACAAATTTAAAAAGAAAAAGGCAAAAGGACAAAAAAAAAGGGACACACATAATTATGGCACATATAATGAACCACACTTAAGCTGATCCCCTATTATACAAGAACAACAACAACAAAGAAAAAATAGTACTGCTAAAAGTACTTTTGTTTTACCTAGACCAATAATTCACCCATTTGGACAACATCTGAGAATGCTTCATGTTAAGCCCTCTTTACTCGTATGTTATGTGTTCATTTTCTACAATTCTATTAAGTTCAGAAATCCACTCTGACAATGTAGGAGGGGAATCAGATAACGATATCCGTACGGCCATTTTTCTAGCAGTAAACAGCTCTTTGAAGATATACTATATACATATACTGTGAATGCCTTTATATAATATATAATAAAAAAAGAACTTTGAAATAAAGTAATTAGGAAAGTGGATTATACCTTTGCGTATAGTAAGCCTTTTTCAGTAAATATCGTTATAGTGATATTAAAGTCAAATTATTTTTTTTTAACATCAATATCTGTTATAGGTGATTAAATTACTTACAATAAATGTTTCTTCCTAATGTTTAACCCTTTTGCTCCCAAGGCCTTTTTTGAATTTTTGTACACATGTTATAATCCACATTTTAGACCTGAAAATTACTTAAAACCCCCAAAACATTTTATATATATATTCTGAAAGCAAAGACCCTGTAGAATAAAATGGTGGCAGTTGCAAATTTTTAAATTGCACGATTTTATCAAGCCCAAACATTTAATAAAAAACACACTTATGTTAATTTTAGTGCCCAAAAACACAATATAATACCCATTTTTGTAAAATATAAAAGAAGGTTATGACGAGTAAATAGATACCCAACATGCCTAGGTTAAAAATTACATGCATGAAACAGCCCCAAAATACAGTAGATATCATAAATATTGACCCTTTACATGTGTTTACGTTAATATGCGCACATTAAATTTATTTTATTTTATTGTATGATTTATTTTATTTAATTGCTAACACATAGGGTGGCTCAGAAGCCTCTTATGTGATAGCACAGTAGTGGTGACAGATGCTCTTTAAGGTGACATTAGGAGTCTATTAGACCCCTAGTGTCACCATTCCATGCCAAAGAAGCTACTGAAGTGCAGATCACGCTCCAATAGCTTCTTGCCCGGCTTCTACAGCCGAGCAATGACAGGTGAGGTACCAGAGGTAATGCAACAACATCGCTTCTGGCCCCATTGAGTGGGGAGGAGATTGGTGAACTAATGTTCACCGGTCTCCTTCCCTGCTTCCTGCTGACAGCAGTGAAGCTGGTCCCAGGAGGGGCAGCGGATTCCGGGACGGAAGGCGGAGGTGTCGGGTGAGGGGGGTGGGCACAGTACATTGACCCCTGGAAGCGATCTGGCAGCAGCTCAGCCATCCAGAATCGCTTCCATTGTAAGGCAGACAGTTGGCTTTACACATGTGAACAGAGCTGCCGGGAGTCCTTTTAAAGGGGCCCACTGCCAGCGACGTATGACATATTGTAGTCGGTGGGAGCAAAAGGGTTAAACATTTTAGTTTCCTGCAGAATCAGCTGATCCCCCGAGCACAGACCCTGGTATCCGGTTTTAGGGTGGATCCTTTCCCTTGCAGGATCCTGTGGAATTGAACTTGTGTGTCTCCACAAACACACAGGCACAGCAAGGCAAGCCACTTCCCTGCCACCTGCTCCCGAATCCTCCCTGGAACCTTCTCTATGATAGTGAATAGAGACTGCTGGAGACTGTGATGTTCCTTGTGATCTTGTACTTGATGAAAAGTTTAGTGAAGCTGACCTGAGAGAGCTGGAGCCAGCTGTTTGTAAAAATGTTTGAAAACATGTTTACTGTAATTGCTTGGGCAAAAATTTAAGGAAATAGTTTACTGGGCAATATATTTTTTAAGCTGAATTCATTATTTAAAAAATGGATGAGAGTTTACTAGTTTAAGTTAGGAAATATATTTAGTAAATAGGCTATGTTATATTGCTGCCAAGCTCAGCAATATAACATATTGAAAAATAACTGGGCGACACATTATGATGCATACGCATATTTGTTTATATGAATACTGTCTTGAGAATCATGCAGAACTGGCACTGCACAAGGAGAGCTTCTGTAAGTGGCGCAATCGAACTTTAGACATAACTTTAGAGCAGTCATTTCTGCATGTAAATTGCATATAAAAATTGCATAAATAGCTTGATAAATTGAGTGTTTTCAATTACTTTGTAGCTACCTAAACCCTTGTGAACTAGACAAGCTCTTACTTTCTTTTTTCAACTAAACTCACCTTACCAGCACTCCCTCCCTGTTCCTTGCTCCTCCGCAGCACTAAAATGACTCGTGTAAGCATTCTGGGGGAGTGTGATGCCACTCCCCCTGTCATGTGACAGTGTTCAGGTTAAACAGTTGGCTGCTGGACCAGAGCACAGTCACAAGGCAGGTAACCTGTAACAGGTATTAGGGCCAAGTATTGTTATTGGCTGTGGAGGAGGAAAAAACTGCGGGAGATCAGTAGTAAGGTTAGTATAGGAAGGTCGTGGGCAGGAGGGCCCTTTGCAGAGAAACATTCACTTTTTCCCCACATGAGCAAGGTGATCATGTCTCTTTAAATAAATGAAGACTGAGACTGTTTAACCTCCATAATTATTTATTTTACTATAAATAACACATTTCATCCCTATGATGATGCCAATGGCTAGCAAAAATTGTGTATAATAATTAAGACAAGACAAAAATAGTAAATAGTAAATAGAAATAGTGAAATCACAGATAAGTGCAGATTTATGTGGAAAGGTCATACTTAAACTGTATGTGTATGCACTTGATGTAAACACACACAAAGACAATGGACACTATTAACATTTAATCCCGTTTTGATTAAAAAAAAATAAAAAATTCTTAGGGTTTTTTTTTGTATGGGCACCTT